TTTTCTTTCGAAATTGGTTTCTAGTCCATAACTTTTGATTGAGAAGTCTGATCGAAAAAGTACCAATTGGATTCTACGCACCAAAATTAATAAGAAAGAGGGTTTTCCCGAGAAATTTTGGTGCAGTCGATTTTTGGCTAAAAAGGAAGGTTATACACTGCTTTTTTTTTTAGGCCCGAAAAAAAAATTGTCTCAGATCGACCCGGAAAAAAATTTTCCTTATAGAATGTGGCCTGTAGAATCCACAATTTCAAACAGTTCCAAGATTGGGCTACTAGTTCAAAAGTTACAGCCCTTTGAATTTTAAGTAACCTTGCCAAGGAAAGTTTCGATAATTCTCTCTTTATATTGCCCTTGCACCCTCATGGTAGACTTTGGGAAAATTTAATTAAATCTTCGTATACAAGGGGGTATTCCGTACCCCCACAAGCACCCCGGTACTACGTTTAATGATAATTTTTTAAAAAAAGACCGCAAAACTTAGAACCAAGATACGACTGTGCTTTGCTAAAACCTATCATGAGGGTTTTATAAGTGAAACTACTAAGAAGAACGTACTACCGGGGGGTCTGGGGGGGTATGGAATACCCCCCAGCAGTAACCTTGGCAAGGAAAGTCTCAATAATTCTTTCTCTATTGCCCTTGCACTCTTTGGGAAAATGCAATTGAATCTTCCTTTAAAAAAAAGGAGTCATGAGCACCTGCCAGGCCTTGGGAAGCGCTACAGCACTGCACCGAACCAAAAGGTTCAAACCGGGGAACCTTAGATGGGACATCTATAGTAATTCTTGGGGAGGATTGTCTACAAGAGGTGACCGAAACCCCACCCCACATAATGCCGATAAAGCACCGACCTAGGGGCACCATACAGTATAAACCTTACACAAAAAGTGGTACATAAGACGGTTCAAAACAAAAAGAGGGGTCTTTCACCCTCATAAAGCAAAAAATGAGTAGCATGGAGACAAAAAGAGATATCGTCACAGACAGTTAAGCTACACTGAAGGCGTTAGTAGCCCGTACCTACGACTCAAAAATGGTCTGGGAGGGCATCTGCAATCCAAAGAAATTGGCAACTGATGACAACCGTATCGCACTATGGTGGATGGCAGATGAACTGGCCCGGCGGAAGCCAATGGGACTGCACAGAAGTCACATAAGAGAAACCCTACACCAGTGGGAGGAGATTACTGGCAGAAGGTATTAGGACAGCGACAGGCCAAATTATTCTTCACGGCCACGCCACGTTACTAAAAGCTATGGAAGCTTCAGCCCTCAACAGGAAGGATCTCTGGTCCATTACAGGGCTGCTCACAGGCCATACCATCTACATAAGATTGTTTCAGCGGCGGAGGCCACATGCAGACTTTGTGGACAGACAGTTGAGGCATCTGAACACATTCTAAGTGGATGCGAGGCTGCTGCCGGGCAAAGGCTAAATAACCTCGACGGGGATAGGAGCTGAAACCGCACTAAACCTTAGAGCACCTTCTCAAATCGGCTAAAACTACTCTAAAACGAGTAAGGCCA